GGGGGGCACTATGCGGGGGGGGGGGGGATGGGGGGGGGGGGGAGCCAGAATGGCTGAGAAGATGTAAAAAAGGTGGAGGAGTTGGATGGGAAGGGAAGCCCTGGTTGTTTACGCATGAAGTCCTCAAAACACCTTAGGATCCCCGAGGAAACGGAGTCATGTCCCCCGCCACTCCGCTTTCCCAGCCTTTTTTCCTTTTTTGCCGTCCCCAAGAGGGAAAGGAGGCTTCAATGGGCTTCAGTCCCCGTTTCTGGCAAAAGAGAGACAGCGAGCTAAAGTAGGCGGAATTCTCCCGCCATTTCCCCAGACAACCGCTGTGTTTCCCATCCCTCGCTCTCCCTCCTCGTCTCACGTGGCCGCCCTCAACAGCCCAGTAAAGCCACCGTCGAGAACTCCTCGTGAATTAGCCTCCACCGCAAAGGAGGCTTCAATGGGCTTCAGTCCCCGTTTCTGGCAAAAGAGAGACAGCGAGCTAAAGTAGGCGGAATTCTCCCGCCATTTCCCCAGACAACCGCTGTGTTTCCCATCCCTCGCTCTCCCTCCTCGTCTCACGTGGCCGCCCTCAACAGCCCAGTAAAGCCACCGTCGAGAACTCCTCGTGAATTAGCCTCCACCGCAGCATCAAGAGCGCCTCGGCTTTCCCTCCTCAGCACCCAGCTGGAGGCGGGAGCCGCAGGCGCCAGCGTGAGGCGAAGAGACGAGGAGGCGGGTGGAGAGGAAAGGAAACGCTGGCTTGAAGTTCCAGGTCTTTGCTTTTTCAGCACCGGCTTCGTTCTCGTTTGAAAACGATTTGTCTACCACCTCCCTCCCACAGGCTGTGGGGGGGGGGAGAGGGATGTTGCTTTTGTTTGAGTTTTTAGTGTGGTATTTGTTTGATTCTTTTGAACTATTTGTTTACTTACTGTTTTAAATATAATCTTCTGGCTATGTAAGCCGCCTTGGGCCCTTTTTAAGGGGAAAGGCAGAGTGAAAATATTTAAAATAAATAAATAAACACCCCGGAGGAAAAAAAGAATTGGATTGATTTGACAGCGGTGTAAAAGCAACCACAAGCCTAATTTGTGTCAAAGTTCAACCCAGTGGTTATTACATATCATCATCATCATCTTAGAGCTGCAGAGCTGGAAGGGACCCTCTGGATCATCAAGTCCAGCCCCTGTCAAGAAGGCACCGTGGGGAATCAAACTCTCAACTTCAGGCTCGGCAGCCAGAAAATCAAACCACTGAGCTATAGAGTGTGTCCCACCTTTCCTTGGAGCAAATGAAATTATTCATGGTCCCATCCAGACACATTCATCACAATAAATGGGTCAGATGTTGTTTTCAGAGACATTGACTAATTCAAGGTTACCCTACTCAGAGTGGCAGCTGGATGGATATTTTTGAATCCAGCTCTCCCTCTCTTACACACACAAGTACTACAGAGAGCATTTTAAAAAAACCCTCCCCAGTGTGTCTTTGTAATGATGATCTCATCAACCTCTCACTAACTTCTCAGAGTAGGTGTACTGTATATGGATTAATGTACAAACTAACTAAGTGACATAGTTTTGCAAGCATGAAATGTTTCCAACATTAGGCAGTTGAAAACAGGTTGCTATTTTTTTCCTCTGCAGGGGATACACATCATCAATCTCATTTAGCTTGATAAGCAAACTCAGCTTCCTTTCTTCAATATCCAAGCAATGTCTCTGCAGCTCTAGTGTAAATACTGCATATATTCCGCTAATTTGGTTAAAAACCCCACACAGTCTTAGTAATTAACTGGAGGCAAACCGTTCTCCCACATGTCTCTATATGCAGAACTACTACCATAAACAAAAATTGCACCAAAAATATCCTTCTTTAACAGAGAGGGAAAAAATTAAAATGGAATGTAGTATTAAGCCTTGAGAATTCCATATTTTCAAGATACAAAAAATAAATTATGCCATTTATACACCTTAATTTTATGGTGATAAACATATTTAAGTTTTATTACAATCAGAGTCCAAAGTAGTTTACATGTGGTCCTTGTAATCTGGAAATTTAAGTCACTGCTGGATCCTCTGAAAGCTAATGATGATGACAACATTTCAGATCTACTCACATCAGATGAGCACTTTTGCCTGTTCTACACTCATCTCTGGGTCTATGAAGGCTGGTGCTGTTGTACAGCCTACACTTGTCTCTGATCTACCTGTGATTCAAAACACTGGCATCAACAGCATTCATTTCAGAGGATCCAGAAGTGGAAAGGGTGATTCCTCCTTCCTCTCCCCATAATGTTGTTTGTGTCAACAGAAGTACTAGAGGGGCACACTAAACCTCATGCTTCTCTTGTGTGGCTTGGTTTTTAACCCCTGAAATGAAATTCATTGCTTCAGAGAGCTCCCAATCCAATATGAGCTCTGCTGGATACTGCTGGAAAGCCTTATTAGGGTCACTATAAGTCTGTTCCGATTTGATGGCACATAACATAACAATACACTGTAATCTTCAACATGCTGAGGTTTATAAATTCAGTAAATGATGATAGCATGAGGAACTCATACAGTTTGGATGTGGATTTGATATAGATAGGTCCTGGGTTAGTGCACTACATGTATGCCCCTTATCATTTAACTCAAGTAAAGTTATAGCAGTCTACCTATAACTTTGGAGTAGTCAAGAATAGTGCTGATATGAGGTTACCATTCCTGCTTAAAAAGAACCATCTTTCAAACTGTCACACACCCTCTTCATCCTATAAAGAACTGCAACAAATGTGCAGTGCTGACATAAACTTGATTTACAGATCCTTTAGCAGACAACAAGCAAATCCATCAAAAACAAAATCAAAATTTTTTTTTGTACAGGCACCATGACTAACTTGAATAGAAAGTGCAGAAGAATCAGTGTCATGGTTAGCAGCTAGTAAAGCTGTACAGTATATCTTTTCAGACTTCTGCCCATTAAATCAAATGGAAGTCATTGGCTGTCGTGGCTTATTCATACTGTGATTTTTGTAACCGTTGGGTTGGATCCAGATTTAGTCATGGTTAGCTTAAGTCTTAATGTTTGCAGTGAATCTACTCTATATTTTTCCGTCAGTGGTTTGATATATGTTCTAGTGTTATTTGTGTGCATTCTGTTGTGGATGCTGTAAATACACCTTGAAAGTAGCTTGTAAATTGTGAATCGTGACTTCATTTCCTGTTAATGATATCAGTGTTGGATATGCCCCCCCCAAAAAACCTCATCAGGATAGTTCTATTATTGTCAGAGTAGAGATCTGATACTCAAGGACGACAGGAGCACCTACAGTAGCATCCATTGCAAAGTAATTGGACCAACGCCACTTTACGTGGTTGCTGTTACTGTTCTAGAAGAAACTTTTAGCATTCAGTGCCAATTAGTGATATCAATCAGTGTTCCCCTCATTTATTTCCTCCTCCTTCCAACACTTTGTGTTGTTCTCTCAGATCTATGGATGCTTTCTCCACTTCTGACACTACCTTTGCTGCCCAGCCAAAGATTTACAGTTGAAAGAATAATATTAAAAATGAAATAAGATTGTAACTCTGGATGAGAATGTGTTTGTTAGGGTTATTTCATATTTTTATTAGCAGAATGCAGCAGTCTAGTACTTCACTTGTGACTATCAAAAAAGAAGAGAAATCATGCTAGAGACAGGTAATAAAGCAAAAAAGGAAGTGTAGTGCTTATTACATAGAAATTCTCAAATTTGGTTGTAGAAACACCTAGAGCTGTGGTTCCCAACCTTGGGTCCCCAGATGTTTGTGGATTAAAACTCCCAGAAGCCTTCACCACTAACTGTGCTGGTCAGAATTTCTGGGGGTTGTAGTCCAAGAACATCTGGGGACACCAGGCCCACTGACCTTCCTTTTGTACAAACTTACTTCCACATGTGGTAGTCTGTCGTAAGTAGGTTGGAGGGGCAAGAAAAAACAAATTACATGAGAGGAAGGAGGAGCCTAAGATTAATGATGCATTAATAGATTTTAAAAAAACATAAGGAGGGAAACTCCTGGGCTATCTGTTTGCCCATTGTATTGCTATATGTATTGGTGGTCTATTCCAGCAATATTTGGAAAATGCAGACAGCTCTTAGAACAGAAGGCTAGTAGGTTCAAGATGGACAAGGATGACTATGAGAGCATGCAAAAAGCAGCATGTTAATACTGAGGAGTTGCTGTACCTTTCTCTTTTTTTAATTGAAGGCAACCTGCAATTATACAGTAATTCAGTACTTGCCTCGCACAGTAATGGGGGACCATGCTGCTTGCACAGACATGGCCA